TCAACCAAGAGCCCCAAGGCAGGGGGTGTTTTAATTCGGAGTTAACTTCTCCTAGCCTTTGCCTAAAAAAGCGTATCCTACAAGGCAGCAGGACATGGAGCAGGTTGTACTGGGTTACATGTTACCAGGAAAACCTGACCTGACTGAATTTTGTTTGTAAATAAAAGTAATGAGATTAAAAGGAAGTTTTAATCTCATTACTTTTTTTACATTTTTTTAAAGGAAATTTCTAACAAATTCCAAAATAACTAGAGGAAAGTCAGGTAGTCCCGGATGGCGGGTAACTCCCATCCGGGACTACCTGACTTTCCCCTAGTTATTTTGGAATTTGTTAGAAATTTCCCAAAGATTTTGTTTCCCACCACCAGAAGAGCGACGTATCATCATATTTGATTCACATATTATTATACCTAATTTTTATGTAAACTAATAACTTTTTAATGATTAAAAATATATTTTTATTTACAATAGTTATTAAAAAAAAAATTCGTTAAAAAGTTCAATTCACTGGTTTTAAAGCTAGTATTTGTGAATAAGGTATGGTATCGGACACATGTTTGGAGGGTGGCTCCAGACAACTTAATTTGCTTACATATTAATAATAAACAGCTTTTTTTACATAAATATTAATACATTTAGTATAGTACACAAACCTATAACAGTAATTCATTTAGTTCCAATAAAAAAACATTAGATTTGAAAAAAGTGTTTTTAAAGTGTTTATTTTCATTATAAAAAAGCTTATGTTTATATTTTTAAATGATGGCATTTTCATTCTCATTCTATAGATATCAGAGGCAATTTTTAAAGGCGATTTTTTTAAAAATGTGTCAAGAACAGTCCAATGCTAAATTATTATGTATTACATTTGTGTCACACTGGTAAAAAAAGAGGTAAAATCATGGTTAAACTATGTGTCCGGGGCTACCCTCCAATTTTGAAACATGCCTTTTTTCTAACATTTTTTCTTTTATGTTTTGTATATTATTAAGATACATAATAATTTTTTTTTTGTTTCTAATTCAATAGATGAATGTTTGAACTTTTAAAAAAAGTCTTTTGACACTTTTTTTTCTGTTAGCATATGGGCACAATCTATATTTTCCTTAAGTGTCCGGCGCTACCCAACTCTCCCCTAATTGATTTTGTGGGAGTTAATACCTTTCCATTAATACAAGCATTTAACTGCTACGCTAATTTTTTGTAATTTTCTTTTGAAAAAGTGTATCAATATTTTTATTTAATTTATAAAATAGTTTATTTTTTTCATTTATTGTTTTAAAGACTACTATTTAGTTTTTTAACATGTAGATTTTATTTGCTCTCATCCAGTTAAGAACTGATAATATGGCTTCATTGGTTGTTTTTTTAAATTGTCAACAGAGTTTTTGATAATGTTATGTAACACATTTCAATTGAATTGGTGAATGAAAAAAGGGTTAAAGTCCAATAATGTAAACTTAAAGGAAACTAAAAAAAATGCATTTTCCCCTGGAGTAAATTTTTGTTAATGGTTCAATAATTTTTTTTTTGAAGGTGAAAAACATTATCCTCGTGTAAATGACAACTAAGAGTGTGTTTGTGTGTGTGTGTGTGTGTGTGTGTGTGTGTATATATATATAAATATATTTGAAACTGGGATATAATGGGGTACTTAAGGGAAATTCATCAAAAATAAGAAGAAAAAAAACAATTTTTTTTTAATGAAAAAATACAATACAAACTACTATCTGCAAAAAAAAAAAATTAATAGCATTAAATTAAAAAAAAAATTCAGCATTTAAAAATCTTTGAAAAAAAACCATTTTGCTTCATGCTAGGGGCAAATAGGGTGTAACAATAGCATGTTGTTGACTTTGTTCAATGCGTAGGTATAGTTCACAAGTAAACTTGGCCTTTTATCTTTTTCTCCTTAACCAGCACTGTGTCCAGCAATGGCAATGTAATATATATTAACACTAATCAAGTAACTTTTTTGACAGTAGATTCAGGAAGTGTTTTTCTCTGAATTTTTCATAGTTTTCCTATTTTAGATGCACTGTTTTGTCTATATACTAAAGCATTTTTTTTATGCTTTATCATTTTTGTTTGTCATTTTGAGCCTTTTTAATTTTTTCGATGGATTTCGTTCATTTGTAGGGTGTCTAATAGCAAGGTTCTTTATGGAGAGGAGATCAGGATTGCAGTTTTCCTCTCTGCCTAGATATTTTCCTTTGCAGTGAGTGCTTTAGTATTGGAATGATAAACCTTGGAGGTACATTTTGAAATGATGAGATATTAACATTCCTCGTAAAAGTAGTTAAAGTTCTGAAAGAAGTGGACATGCTGGTAAAATCAGATGATTGGCTTGTAGAAACAAGATATTTGTGTTGTTATTTGACTGATTGTACTGATGACTGATACTTACAGATGGAGGCTGACAGAAACACAGAGGTGGCTAATAGCAGCCATGTCACATGTATCAGCAATAGGGTTTGTTTCAATAAAATTAATATTAGTAGTTTCTGTTGCCAGAAAGTCTGCTTTGGAAAAAACAGTTCTATTCTTTTTGAATGTTGTTTATGAGCTTTGTGGCAGCTTCAAGGTAAGCTGAGCCAAAAAGTGCAGTTTTTTTAAATTAGGTGACCACGTGTCCAGGATTTGTTTTTAACTGTTTCCTAATACTGTGTTCATATTAACAGGTATTATCTTATTCCGGATATTTCCGGAATTCCGGATATTTTTTTCACCTTTTAGTTTTTCCGGATATCCAAAACATTTTCCATACATATATTTTTGTAATATATTTGTTTTTTAAGCTTTTTCACTCATCACATATAGAAAAAATATAAAAAGTTTGAAAAAAAAATTAAAACAACTCAGCTAAAAGCAAAATTAAAAGGAAAATAAGGGAAAACATATTCCGGATATTTTATCCAAACATTTTCTGGATTTTAAAAATATGACCAGGATAATCTATGTATTAATTGCTTAATACATAAATTATCCTGGTCTTTAAAAATTAAAGGCAGCATTTGATGAATGCAATAAGAAGGCAAACAGCAAAGATTACACCTCTTTTTTTCAGCTAAATTAAGTATAACTGGAGAGCTTATTTTTTCCCTTAAATATTGAATAAATTTTGTTAAACATAACTAATTTCATAACAATAAAACACGTTACCATAACATAACAATAAAACACATAACCATAATATAAACTCTTAACAATAAACAATTCTTTTTGTATCCACCTGGTTGAGTGACATTCATTTTCTTTCTCTGGGGTGAATACTGTTTAAAAAGCAACTAGAGTTGAAATACAAAAATACTAATTAAACCACTTCAAAGTTGATGAGAAAACAAGAAAGTTTAATAATTTTGCTATAATACATATAAGTTGTCAAAGAGTAACAATGTGGATGATTTTTAAAATACATCGTGTTTATACTGTAAATAAGTAATTAATCATTTGAACATACTCTCTTCACACGCTTTTTTAATATCAGGATTTTTTAGAAAAATTTTTACTTTAAAGATAGTTTGTGGTATATACTGTTTTTTTATATCCTTGATATCATTCATCACAGAGAGAATTACTTGTTGCATGTTGCATTTTACTCAATGTCTGTCGATTTGATATTCCTTTATAATTTCTCATATTATTTATCTTGAAAACATTTGTATAATACCTTTTTACTAAAAAGTACAAAAGTACCATAGAGTATACTAGAATAAAAAAAATAATTGTAGACTAATTATATATGACATAAAAATATTATATTAGCCTACAATTTATTTTAAAAACCTGGGGTAAAACAGAGAATAACCCATTATACCCCAATTTCATACCCCAAAACGCCCCTTTGGTGGAATATTGCTAAAAACAGTGTCACATCTAAGAAAAGTTCACTCCCATAAAATTATCATATTTCATGATTATAGTTTTCATGATTTCATGATATGATCAAAAAAATCATTTTTAAGTTTTGTATTTGTATTTTTTACTTTTATAAACATAAATATTATGATTTGTATCTATAAGTATAAAGGAAACCAAATGTTTACAATTAAGAGTTTGAGCTCCCAACTCCAAACAATTTAAAAGTTATGACATCTTTTAGTTTTAAAAGCTAGTAATTATTTTAACTATGTTCAACAACAGATATTAAAGAATCACTTTCAACAAATATTTCAAGTTCTAGGGGAAGAAGTTATGTTAGTTATTTAAAATCCCCAAAAATTTAGATAAATTAATCTATTTTAAATTAATTAAAGACCTTTTTTTAAATTTCAAAATGATTCTTGATCTTATTTACTTTTTCTTAAGTTGCCTTAAGTTTTTCTGTAAAAGAAGAGATAATAGACCATCTTAATATCGCTTAGGTCTCTTAAGTTTTTTCTCAATATATTTTTAAGTTTATGTTTTAGAAGTACATATTTTATACAATAATTTAATTTATACAATTGCATGATGAGCAATTATTTTTTAATATATGCAATTGCATGATGAGATGATATTGCATCCATAAAAAATTTTATCTCAAATTTTTTTTTATCTCAAATGTTGTGTCAAAGCGAGAAATTTAAATGCCTTTGTTTTTTAAAAATTCTTTGGAAGATGAAAAAAAATCAACATTTTTTACAAATTATGTTTTTGGTCAAAGGAAAGAAAATGTTAGAGTCATCATCATATACTCTTTATCTATAATAAGATTAAATTTGGAAATTTGGTGACTTGCTTCTTAAGCAAGTGTGAATGAGGTACTTTAAATGTTTTAAGTTCAAAATTTAAATTCACACTTAATTTACTTAAATTAAATTTGAGTTTACTTGAAAATTAAAATCATCACTTGTTTTCAGCTTTATTTATTTTTTAATTATTTTTGTTGACCAGGCTAAAATTGTTTTTAAAAGAGAGACAAAAAAAAAGGAATTAAAAAAAAAAATTAATCAAAAAATAATTGTGTTAATATTTGACCTTTTTTGTATCTCAAAAAAAATTTTAATATCTTACTTTAGATTGAAAAAGCGAGAAATGGAGAGTTGTCCAAATGGGAAGATTTATCATTAGGTTCAAAACATGCAGTGGCATTTATTATTCTTATTGATCAATTTTGCAGAAACATTTATCGGGTCAGTTTAGATTTTTATGATTTAGATAAAATTATTATTTGATTTAGTTTAATTATTTTTTTCATAGGAAACTCCTGACATGTTTAGTCATGGTCATATGTCTCTTGCTGTTGCATTAAAGGTACTAAGTTTATAATTACTGCATAACAATGTAGTCGATTAAATATGTTCTTTTAAGTTATTTTTACTGCGCAGCAATATACTCAGTTGGTCAAGTTATTTTTGTTTAGTTGATTGATGCAGGGATTCATAAAGAATTAAACTTTGAAGAAAGAATGTTTGTTTATTTACCTTTGATGCATGATGAATGTCAAGAAACACAGGTGTGCATAGGTTTATATATATTAGGGTGTCCCAAAAAACATCTTTCATACGTAACGATATTTCCCTTAAAATATACAATATTTTCCAAAACAAAAAACAATTTTCTGTAAAAAAAATCTAAAAAAATATTGTATAATCTAAGGGAAATATCGTTACGTATCGTTTTTTCCGAAATGAACATTATTTTTGAAATTTTTATATAATTTCGCTTCATTTGAGTACCAGGTTGACATAATTTTTAAAAACTTTTTTTTTGAAAATATTAGGGACCCATTAAATATTCGAGGGTCTTGAGGGACCCTTTTTAAGTTTAAAAAAGTTTAAACTTATTGTTTTTGTATTAGATAGAACACATTTAGGGGATGAGAGCAGATTATTTTAAAAAAAGTTGTTTTTTGGAACACCCTAATATATATATATATATATATATATATATATATATATATATATATATATATATATATATATATATATATATATATATATATATTGTATTTAAAATATTAGAGTTTTGATATATAGTACTGTCTTCAGTGCTTTTAAACTTAGCTATTTTTAAACTACCTAAAGTTGTGAACAAAATGCGCTGTTTCAACAATTTACTTGTTATTTATTACAATTTGTTTTAGAAAAGATGTGTACAACTACATTCTGAACTTTATAACGAAGCTATTGGAACACCTTTTGAAAATCTTGCAAAAAGTTGTTTTAATTATGCACAATTGCATCAGGTAAACTCTTAAAAAAAATTTATTATATAGAACACTTATTGTTATGAAAACATCCTGATTTTTTACAATAACTTTTTGCTTTAAGGAGGTTATTGCGAAGTTTAATCGATTTCCTAAGCGAAATCAAGTACTAGGTCGGAATAATACACCAGAAGAAGACGAAGCACTCCGTAACTGGACCTACGGTTTTTAACTGTATTTCTATGCCACATATGTTGGGAATTATTATGTCAACGGATGTATTAATATGTATTTAATATATTGTTATCATTGTTATATTTTTTTGTGTGAAAAGTCTGGATATTCAAAATCTTTAGGTCACTGAAATCAAGTTTTTTTTTAAGGTTATGTCTTAAATATAAAACGTTCAGTTAAAAATATGAAACGTTATGTTTGAAATAAGAAATGTCATGTTTGAAATATAAAACGTTATGTTTGAAATATGAAACGATATAATTGAAATATGAAACGTTATGTTTGAAATATGTAACTTTATGTTTGAAATATGTAACGTTATGTTTAAAGTTTGAAACGTTATGTTTGAAATGGCTTTTTTATTGCAAAATTTCAATCTTTAAAGATTCGTTAAATCAAACTTCAATCGTTAAAGATTCGCAGTCATTAGTCAGCAAACAAAGATCCATGCGTAAGTTTAAAGTTACCAAGTTATGCACAAAAACGCATACTCCTCCACCTGCTCTTTTAGAGCCTCTAACTTGATAGATAACCTTAAAGTTATCAAGTTTAAAGTTGAAAGAATCATTTCCAATTTCCTTATCACGATACCACGTTTCTGTAAAACAAATAGTTATAAAATTAATTTTGGCGCTAAATAAAATTTTTTTAAAATTCCAAATATTTAAATGTAGGATGAAGATATTAATGAGACCTAGATCAGCGGTAAGATTAGAAATATCCAAACTAAAAGTAAAGATTATTACTTAATTATCTTATTAATGTTGTGAAAGTTAAATAGTTTGAAGTTTGTATCTGAATCATTTTCAAGTTTGGGTCGGATATTTTTAAATATTTGGAAAGGTTCTGATTCTATGTTTTGTGAAGCGGTTTCTTCATAATATTTAAAATAAATATACAAATAAACAAATATACGCTGAAAATTAAAAAAGTAGAACAAAAATATGTTTGTGAGTAAGAATATAATAATAAATTTGTTTGTTTTCATTATTTTGCATATTAAATTATTACAACTAATTTAATTGTAAAACTACACATAGTTTTATAATTAAATTAGTTGTAATAATTTAATATGCAAAATAATGAAGTAAATATTAAATAAAAACCAACGTTGAATTCTCTTCATAATAAAAACATTACACAAATTATTTCTGCATTGCCTACCCTAGTCAAAAGACCTATAGGATAAGTGGTAAACAGATTCTATCTGTTGACCAGCCTCGCAGTCCTTCTTCATCTATTAGACTGGCGAAGATGTATTTATAATAAATTGTTTTCAGTTTAGGATTTTTTTTTAATTATTTTAGTTTACATTTGTTAGTTTGTTTTTACAATATAATGAGTAATTAAAAAATTAATACAAGTTATAAAGTAAGCTAATACTACTAGCATTTAAAAAACTATGTATCTGAAAGAAGATCAGTAAGATCTTATCGTCAGAACCTTACTTTAACTTTATAATCTAATATTTTGTTTACTAGTGGAAACAAAATATTAGGTTATAAAGTAACTATAACAACAACAAAATACAAATAAAATATACATACACATATCACTTTGTAGTATAAATAATAAAATTTAATAAATATTTCCATAATATAAATATTATTGTCAAACTTTGATAATACGGGAGAGAGAAAGATTTTTCAGCTTAACTTTAAAAAGATGCAAAGAAGTAGGTAGATCAAAATTAGATTAAAATTAGGCAAAACAATTTTGTTCCAGAGATGGGGTGCACGATAATCAATGCAAAATTGGTTAAAATTTGTTCGACAAAAAGTCTCACATAGAAGATTGTTTTGTTATTTTTAAAGAATATTTATTGGTAGGTTTCAAGGTAATTAAATCATTAAAAAAGAGAAAGATTGTTTTTACATATATATACAAGCATAAAATATTAAAAATATTACGTTCGTAAATATTAAGTATTCTCATTTCATAAAAAATGGTTTTTAGAGTGAGAAAAACGATCAGCAAAATTAATTACACGTATTGCATGTTTCTGACGGCGATAGCACGGTCATTTCGATATTAGGAAAAAGCGCTATGTTTAGGTACGCATGCGTCAATTAATTTCAAAATGTTTTGAACTTTTAAAATAGCTGCGGTCCTTAACTACAGCGAACATTTTACATGATGATCTTTTTGTTGTAGGTTTGTTAATCGCAACTTACTATTTTTATCTTATAATTGCAGTAAATCAGAAGATAGATAACTTAGTTTCATAATTAAAAAATTTAAATAAGCTGAGAATGATCTTGGCGTATTAAACCTTCAGTTTCCTCGAATGCTATTTTAGTATGAGTCAGTAATTTGTTTATTTTTTTAAAATCGATTTTCTCAACTTCTAACCGTAGAAATTGAAAAAATTTTTTTTTAAATTTTAAAACGATATTTCCTCTATATATAGTGATTTTTTGGTTGTTGCTTCAACTTTTTTTCTATATAAAATATACTTTTGCTCTTATGCATAAGAAGGAATAAAACACACTTTATTATATCAGGGAAAAGGTCACTATACCCTGATATAATAAAGTATTTTTTTTATTTTAAAACTCATATTATATAACTACAAAGAATGAAAAACACTTTATTATTTAGGGATAGTCGTAAGAGCAGAAATATATTTTTATATCGAAAAAAAGTTAAAGCACCAACCAAAAAATCACTGTAAACAAAGGAAGTGTTATAGTATCTGATGTATACTACTACATGTTGATCAATATTGGAAAAAATATATATATAATATATATAATTATAGTTCAAAATAATGCCAACAAGTGTTGCATATCACTGTATAGTTAGATACAATATAATAAATATGCCTATACATAATATATTATTATACTGTATTATTTACTGTATAATAAGGTACTTACACATATGTGTAAGTATGTGCTGTTGCTAGACACAGTTTAAAATAGACTAATAGACATCAACACTAGTTTTTCACAAATATTTTAATGCTATATATTTATATATTAATAGTTAGTTTATTTTTTTGACTAATTTTAATATTAAGTAATGCTTTTAGATGGAGTTACATAACAAAAATTTAAACTACCTTTGCCGAATATGCGCAAAATGGGTTGGGATAAGACAATATAATGTAACTGATAAAATCAAAATCATAATTGAGCAAGTATTTCTTGTTAAGCTGACAGAAATAAAAACTGTTCATCCGGAAAAAATCTGCCATAAATGTTGTTGTACTATCAATAATTTAAAAAAAAGAAAAACAACAACAACACTGCTTTTATTCAATGAGTGGCAACCGCATAGCATAAACTGTGCGACATGTCACATTGCTGAAAAAGAAAAAAATACAACAATTTCTACACGTTCATTTTTAAAAAAAGCAAAAAGTTTAAAAAAATCGAAGTTACCTGGAAAATATAGAAAATGTTGGACAATTGCTATGTTTACTTCAATTAAAGAAAACCTTATACCTATTTACAATTTAAATGAAGATATTGACATATTAGAACTAAAAAATGACTTAAACCCTTTCTTGCAGCTTTGTCTCTGTTGTATATGTAATAAGATACCACAAACACCAGTTTCATTAAAAAGATGCGAGCATTTATTTTGTTTTTTATGTATTGTGGAAAAAATCAAGTTTAAGTATCTTGATGAAACCTTTTGTCCAAAATGCAATGAAAAAGTTTTCTATGATGATTTGTTCACAAGTAAGCAAACTGATTCTCTTCTAAGGATGCTTACTATTGTTTGTTCTTTTTGCAATAGTAAATTTAATTTATTGAAAGAGTATGAATTATATGAGTCATAAAGGCATTTGTCTTAAAGAGGCATCAGTTCCTCAATCGTTTGCAGCAAGTATTAGTGTCAATGATGTTTTTAAGATAAATGAAAATAGTGATATTCCATATGAGGTAGAAAAAGCTGCGCTTCATGTCATTAAGCAAAAGATGGCTAAATTTGGAGGAAAGTCAGTAGAATTTAAAAGTCGAAGACCTAGAGTAAGTCTTTTTTTTGCATAAACATTAAAAAAGTTATTAAGTCATAGAACTTAATGTTTTTGATTTTTTCTTAACAGCCAATCGTTTTTACACAGACACCAAAAGCTTATGTTAACAGTGCTCAGGCAGCAGAATCTACTTTGCGACTTCGTAATACAAATATTTTGAAACATTTTGAGACTGTAGCTGGCAATTCATGCGATTCAAGTATAAGTCAAACAAGTAAATTGTTATTATCATTTGAACCAGATCAGAGACAGTCAATATTAAGTAATACAAAACTAAATCACACTAAAATAAGTGCAAATGTGATGGTAGCTATGAAAACTGATATGGGTATCCCATGGGAAAAACTTAAAGTAATGTCTAGGTAAGTATAAATATATGACATTTTTAACTTTTTGGCACTTTTGATTAAATATATATACATTTACTGTAACAAATTTTTTTTACTAGATGGCTCAAAAAATATGATATAACCACTGCATCTAATGCTTCACAAAGAGTTGTACCTGAAAATTGGTCGGGAAACGACATTATTGTTGAAAATGCTCCTTTCACATTTAAAAAGGAACAAAAAGGAAAGATTGAAATTAATGAGGTACCTTGGGGTTATATTGCAGATTTACCAAAGCATATTTTTACTCATCTTGAACAATTAGAAAGGTAAGAATTTATATCTTAGCATCTAATTTTAGCATCTAATTTCTGATTTTTGAAACTTACCTTATTTGTATATATATAGAATACTGTTTTGTAGTATTATTCAACTTATCATTTAAATTTGTAATAGCTGTAACAGTCTTTTGTATCATAAGTTTATTCCACAAAAAGAAATTAAAATTAAAATTGGAGGAGATTATGGTGGAGGAAGTTTTAAGATGTGTTATCAGGTTGTTAATACCTTAAATCCAAATAGTACAGAAAATACAATTGTTTTTAATATATTTGAATCAAAAGACCTCAGAGTTAATATTAAAGTAGGCATGACAAGATTTCAAAAACAAATAGAAGACTTACAAACAATGAAGTATAGGTATGTTGAGAAATTTTATTAATCAATACTGGAACGATACAATAGTAGGAAACTATACATAAACCAACATATTCTTGAATATCAATTTGTGAATATATTGCTTTATGTATATATATATATATATATATATATATATATATATATATATATATATATATATATATATATATATATATATATATATATATATATATATATATATATATATATATATATATATATATATATATATATATATATATATATATATATATATATATATATTTAGGGGCAATAATATTAGAGTTTTTATCTTTGGTGATTATGAATTTCTTTGTGCATTGTATGGAATTTCAGGAGCTTCTGGTATGCTGTTTTATTACTTTATACAATACATATAAAGTTAGTCTTTAGCTTTTGTGATATTGTGTTACGTTGTGACTAGCATAATATTAGTATATTGTCTACTCTTGATATCTTAAGATATAGAGTATTAGAGGTATTCAGAGTAGACTGTAATAATTCAATTAACCCTATACATAATTCAAATTTTTAGGTAAACACTGCTGTTTGTTCTGTCATGCAACAGCAAATGAAATAAAAGTTTTCAAAAAAGAAAGACCTGTTATAGAACTACGTACGATTGAAAGCCTTCAAAATGATTTTGAAAGATTTAAGAAAAATGGTGGCGCAAAGGAAAATGCTAAATATTACAATAATGTTATTACAGAACCAATTTTAAAAATACCTCTAGATCAGGTAAAATTAGGTTGTCTATTTTCAGTAGTTTTCTCTGATGGCTATTTGTAACATAAAATTAATATACGTCAATAATAATAATATTTAACTCCTACCTGTGTATGTACATAGGTTTCTTTACCAAGTCTGCATATTGCTCTTGGTGTATATTTGAAAATTTTTAACATGTTTGAAGAAGCAGCCCATGAAGTTGATATTATGATGGCTGCATCAATAAAAAATAAAGACAGTTTTTTATATGACTCATATCAAGACTTTATTTTAAAACAACAACATATATCAAATCTTGAAATCTGTATCGCTAATCTTGACGATCAAATTGAGCTAGTAAATGATGCTGTAGCTGCAGCTATATTAAATAATCCTGAAAATGTAGAAAATGTTCAGTCAATATACATCCCTCAACTTGGTTCTCTAAACAGAGCACATATGGAAAAAGTAAGGATATCTTTAAAATTAATAACTAATAAACATAAATTATATAATTTTAACTATTATTTATTCTAAGCACATTATTATTTAAATTAGAGATAGGAATTGAATCTTTTGTTCAGAAAAACTTTAGATCTAACCAAAGCCGAAAAGTTTGGGTTCTGTTTGGTTAGATCTAAGGTTTGGGATAAGGTTCGGTTTGATTTTATGAAAATTATCAAAAATTAGTTTTAAGTATCAATGCAGCTGTTTTATGAGTATTTACAATAATAAAACACAAATGATTTGCAATGTTTTAGCTACTGCAAATTCAAAAGTTCAAAAAACAAAATGCTGCAGCCAAAGTACAAAAAAAACATCAAATCAGTAGCTTACTGAACACAGATAATGGTAGCTATGGTAGCTGTCAGTCTAGTACTCTAAACTCAAATTTAAATCATGCTAAAACTAAAATCATGTTAAATCTCTTATTTAAATCATACTAATATTAAAATCTGTTAAAAAACAACAACAATTGTGTAGATACAAGAGTTAAAAGCTTTGGAAAAAAGCTCAGCATTTCAGAAAAGTGAGGGACCATGTACTCAACAGATAGAGGTGATATTAAAAAAACTTAATGTTCAGCGACAAGCATATCATGGGAAAAGTTTTATTGGTAACCATGTACATAAAATGCTCAAAGTAGGGATTTATTTTATTTATAAAATCTAATATAACAATAAAATAAAATATTAAATCTAATAAAAACAATAAAAATGTAATATTTGCTTATTTATAATATTACTATGTATTAATTGCTTATTTATTAAATGTATTATTTGTTAATTTATAGGAAGAATCCATATTAGAGCTATGCAATTCTGTTCCTATACTTGTTCATAAAAAAGGATTTTCTGGAACTACTCTTCATGAAAAATCAATTGAAGTCTGCAACAAATATAAACAGCTTTTCTATAAGTTTTCTAACTGTTATCACATATTCTCCTCAAAAAATATAAGTACCAGTGAATTAACACAACTCGGTATGTTCACCATTTTAATTTTGTCAAAAAAAAAATGTACAGCGCAACCATGATAGGCTGTGATAGCTAAAGGGCAGAGGAGGTTGTGGAAGCAAAAAACACATTTAACAAACATGCTTGACCCATACTAACTGATATATGACCCATACTGGTCTGTATGACCCATACTGACTAAAACTAATACTTTGACTAAATAATCTTGTTAAATAAGCAAACATATCTAGCAAGATAATTTATAGTAAGATAAAATGAATGGGATTACATGCTCTCTTTATAAAAGTTTTTTTATCTTTAGAGACATATATTTCTGATTTTATGAAATTTTATCGAGTCAATTGGCCAGAAGCTTCAGTCACGCCCAAATTACACATGATGGAAGATCACGCTATTCCATTTTTACAAAAATGGGGTGCTGGGTTTGGTTTGTACGGTGAACAAGGAGGTGAATCGATTCATCACGAGTTTAACAAATTAAGTATGATATATCAATCTATTCCTTGTCGTACAAAACGATTAAAATGTATCCTTAAAGCCCACCATCTAAAAACAAATTGTCAAAATAGAATTTTGACACCAGCAATAAAAAAAAGAAAAAAGAAATAAACTTTATTTAACATAAAACTTTATTTATTATGAAACTTTATTTACTAAAAAAATATTTAAATGGTAGTTTTGTAAATAAAAAAAAAAAGAAAATGTAAATAATTGTAAAAAAGAAATATTTATTTTATATTTAGAACTTATTAGAAAAAAATAAAGAGATTTATATATATATATATATATATATATATATATATATATATATATATATATATATATATATATATATATATATATATATATATATATATATATATATATATATATATATATATATATATATATATATATATATATATATATATATATTAGAGACTGTTTAAGTATTGTGTATTATTTTTAGGATTAATTTTTATTGTTATAAAAATTAATCCTAAACATTTCTTTAATAATGACCCCATCCCGTTTATTTGGCACCTCAGAGTAATACATAAAATACAAAACATAAGATTTTTAAACATAAGATAAGTTTAGAAATTTACTCACCAATAACATAAAGCTATTTTTCTTTGTAGACTATTGAGCTTTGTTGTCAAAAAAGGTTGACGGAATCATATACAATTTATTTCTATATTTTTCAAAATATTTGCACCAACTTCAAATTTATGTGTCAAGGAATCAAAAATCAATCAACATTAAAAGTCTATTATTTTTTGAATCTATTGACACTTAACCACAGTATATACAATGAAAATCATAATAGAGGTATCTAAATAAAATAATTTATTATAAATTAATAAACATCTGCATATTTTGGTTATATATATGTATGTATTTATCTCTCTCTCTCTCTCACTCTCTCTCTCTCTCTCTCTATATATATATATATATATATATATATATATATATATATATATATATAGTTTCAATTTTCACAGTTTAGTTTCACTTTTATGTATATATTTATATAAATAAATATACATATATATATATATATATATATATATATATATATATATATATATATATATATATATATATATATATATATATATATATATATATATTAAAGTATATTTACATTTTTGTTTCTGTATATTCAGCAAGAATGGTTGATGAATAATATCATAGCTGTATACATTTGCTTGAAGAGATAAAATAAAAACAAATAACTACTAAAAACAACAACTTCTCATATAAAAATTGAGTTATAACTGCCTACTAACTTTATATGTCGTAATATAATGAAGTGTATGTAATTATTATATTTACTTTGAGTCATAGTATATTTTTATATCGAAAAAAAGTTGAAGCAATTACTAGAAAAATACTCTAAATACAGCACAGATTTATTTAATGTTTAAAAAAAAAAAATTTTGAATTTCTACGGTTAGATTTCTAGAAAATTGATTTCAAAGAAATAAACAAATCTTTAATATTAATAAATAATGATACTATAAAATTGAAGTTTTATTACGCTAAGATTGTTTTAATCTTTATTTGTCGATTCTCTTATGAAATTCAGGTATTTATATACTGATCTATATAAAAAATGAGCCAACAACATGAATTTATAAGAAATAAATAACAAATGAATGGTTGTTATATAAAATGTTCACTGTAGTTAAGAACCGCAGCCATTTTAAAAGTTCATAACTTGTAGTTATTTTCTTACGCATGCGTACCTAAACATAGCGCTCGTAAACGACCGTGATAGGAGAGATTGTAACTTACTTTTTTCAGTGCTTGCCCAATCAATATTTGCATAATTCATATAGCTATGAATGAATGCATAATAAAGTTGCGATAAAACTTTTTTATTTATATAGATTCTGGTCTTATAAAGAATTCCATAATTTTTGAAATTTTAGTACCGACATAATCATTATGTTGCTTCCATGTGATGTTCTCATCAAGGAATACGCCTAAAAATTTTGTGATACAATCTCTTTTTATATCAATTTGGTCAATAAAAATATCAGGTAGAGTTGGGGGTAAATAACGTTTTTTAGTTATCGAATGAAAAAGAATCCATTTTGTTTTTTTAATATTTAGGGTAAGTTTATTACATTTGAACCAGCTAGAAATTATTTTGAGTTCTTCATTCATAGTAGTGAAGAGTTTATTAATATTGTTACCAGATAAAAATAAATTAGTATCATCGCCAAACATATATTAAAAAAAGCCAAATGTATATTAAAAAAAGAAGTGGCCCCAAAATTGATCCTTGCGGAACACCACATCAAACATCTAAAACATTTTTTTGATAACGATCGTTAAAAGGAACAAATTGTTTTCGGTTTGTTAAATAATTTTGAAACCATTTCAAAATTACACCATCCACTCCATAATATTCGAGTTTATGAATCAAAATGCCATGATTTACTGTATCAAATGCTTTTGATAAATCTAAAAAAATACCTAAAGTGAATTGTGAATTTTTGAAAGAATTAGAGGTTTCACGGACGAATTGGATGTTGAATGCTGAATCTTCTTGACTCAATGCATGGGTTTTGCTTGTGTCTCTGCTTTTATGACAAGGCAACTCGTTCTATTATTTCCTAATGAGGGTACAGCTCTAAAACTCAATTTTATGTTTCTGAAGCCGGCTGGTAATCTGGTTTCCAAAACTCTGTGGTAGCTCTCAAAGAGGCTGATTCCATCAACAGCTAAAAAATATCAAAATACTAACAGTGCCATGTTGCGCATAGATGGTGTCTCTGTTCGTACTTTTGGTGTGCATTGTCGAGGCCACATATTGAGCCCTTTGTTACGGCTTAGGATTTATTAAGAATAATGATGCAACTACTATTAATAGTGTACTGAGTACTAGCTGTGCTTTGATTCAAGTTCTTTAACAAATTTAAAAATGACTAAAGTACCAAAAACTGTATAACACAAAAAACTTTGTGTTATACAGTTTTTGTATAACACCAAGTTCTCTAAATCTATCATTCACTAATAATCGCGTCTTAGTAACGTTTCTTCTGTTCAGTCTTATCTCTAGCAAAGTTTACCAGACCTACTTGCTCTTTGTAAGACTAATTTAAGTTCAGTTGTCTTGTGATCTAATGTCAGTGACTCTGCAGACTATAAGACTGACATCTTTTATTTTTCTCAATCTCCAACAAAATTTGTCAACATCCAGCTCGCTTTCCAGACAATCGGAATCATTTACCTTCTCTACTCGACTTGTATCTTGTTTCTGATTCTATTCAGTGCTCAGTTTCTCCGTATTTATCCTCAGGTGCTTTTGATTACGGCCTGATCTCCCTAAAACTTACCCCAATCTACTTGATCATCAAAATCATCCTATCATCAATACCTCTTACAACTACTTTAAAGTTGACTGAGACACATTCTGTGATTTTCTTTTTGATGGCTCTTTAGTAGAAATATTTCTTCAGAAAGATTCTTCCCAAGAGTCTTCTTGTAGGATATGTGCTTCCTATATAACTTCTCAAGGTTCTACAGGTTTTTATCCGGACAACGTACCTGTTATAGTCTTGCAGAAGTGTTCTGTGGAGCTGTCGTCTATATTTTCAAAACTATTTAACAAGTGATCAGTAATAGCTGATAGAATTTATTGTGTTTTAGATAGATGTGGAGAGGCGAACGCTATCGCTCTCAATATTTCTAAAGCTTTCGATAAAGATTAGCATGCTTATCTTCTCCATATGCTCTCTTCTCACGGTGTATCATCTTTAAGACTATTGAATTCTCTTTACCAATTGCAGTATAAAAGTTGTCCTAGATGGACAGCACTCTTCTTCATATCCTGTACCTTCAGGATTTCCTCAAAGATCTATCCTTGACTCGATACTTTTTTTAATTTACATTAACGATCTCCCAGAAATTCTCACATCTAAGGTGGCACTGGAATGTTGACTGAGATTAAAAAGGATCTCACAGAAATGAGATCCTTTTTAATCTCAGTCAACATTCCAGTGGATATTGAACTTTAACTCAAATAAAACTTTGTTTTTTTTTCAGATAACTGCTATCGCTACAACCTAGATCTTCCTATATTTATGAAAGGGAATGTTCTCTATGACTCATCTACTCCTAATCTTCTAAGATTAACTTTCACTTACGATCTCTCTCAGAAACTGAATATCAAATCAATTGCAAAATTAGCATCTTCAAAGGTTGCATCTATTTATTGTGCTCAGCACTTTCTAATTCCTGATTCTATTCTTTATCTCTATAAATCTGTCCTTGTTTGGAATACTGTTGCCATATTTGGGATGGATTTTCCACTGATGCTCTTTCTCTTTTAGATCAGGTGAAAAAAACGCATTGTAAACATAGTTGGACCTGCTCTTGCAGCTAACCTTCAACTATTTTCACATTATTGTAATGTTGCTTCTCTTTTTCTTTTCTATAAATACTTTAATGGGTAATTTTCTAAAGAATTAGCGTCTCTTGTGTCATCTACTAAAATTCATTCTCGTGTTACTCGTCATTCAATTAGGTGTCATCTTTTTGCAGTAACTGTTTCTAGGTGCTCCAAAAATTCTTATTCGTCTAGTTTTTTCCCTCGAACATCAGTCCTTTGGAATTTACTTCCTTCATCTTCATCCTTCATCTTCATCTTGTTTTCCTGATTCATATAATTTGCAATCTTTTAAGTCGTCTGTTTATCTTTATTTTGCTCTATAAATTTAATCTTTTCTCTCCCAGTAACTTCCAACTCTAACAATGGTTCCTTGCAGCCTTATTGGAAGTGAAAATGTTTAAAAAAAAAAAAAAGGTCTATAGGATCCTATAAGAATTTGACGTCGTTTCTTTTGCTAAGCTATTAATTCTATTGCTTGTCAGCTTAAGATTTCCATTAATAAAGTTGAAAACATTTTTAGACGATTTTCGAATATTTCTTTGAATGAAACTCTCCTTTCTGTAGAGCTTCAGTATAAAATTTTTTTTGTTTTTCTCATTTCATTTGCAACATCTTTAGAATAACTATATTTCTTTGAATCAACAACATCAGTTTACTAACTAACATGTTTTCCATAACATTTTTCTCGCAAAATAGTTCGCTCCGTGAAAATCCGCCTTAAGAGCTATTGATTCAAATTAAATCTGATTGCTACTCCTTAGAAGTCAAGTTCAATAAACATCCTTTACTTAACCTTACAAAAAATGTCATTGCTGACGTCATACTTAATCGGGAATATGAATATAAAAAATACTAGAAAAAAATACTATAGATCGACCGAGGGTTGGAATTATAAATGATCATAAAACAAAATAAATACAAGGTTGATATAAGAAATATTTTTAAAAATGAAAAATTAAATTTGATAGCAGTTATACGTGACTATTTTGATAAGAATGTTTTAACTTTTTCTCTTTGAAAACATGCTTTTTTTGTCATTTAATTTTTTTATATTTTGCTCAAATATTTTTATTTATTGGATCGATGTAAATAGCTGGGGTATGGTGCAGTGAGTTATATATTTTGACATAACCGTTTATTTTATCTTATTTTTTAGTTTGAATACTTATAAAGTAAGGCTTCAGCTATAATATCAGTTTTGTTTCAAACATGTATGTATTTTAGCAGGAAATAGATCTAACAAATTGTGTATATACAAAAAGTTAAAGGTAATATATATTT